CTTCTTCCCTTTCTGTGACTAACTCCTACTCATCCTGCATACTCTAGTTTAGATTTTCTTGGGCAAACCTAGGCTAGTTAAGTTAGATAACTCCCTGATAACTGCTTCTGAAGAATCCTGTATCTCTCCTATCAAGATTTTATTAAAATTACTTCTTTACTATTGGTTTTACGTACTATATATGAGATCCACAAGATGAGAGACTGTAAGGGGGATAGGACAAGGGAATTTGAATTTCAAGAGGAGAATATGGAAATAAAATTTAGGCAGAACTTTGAGGAAGAAGCCCCACAACAAAGCTTGGCCTGAGAAGCACATAGGCAGGGAGAAGTCACCTCTAGAAGAAACAATGTTTCTAAGAATAGTAAATGTCAGAGTTAAATTTCCAGTTGGTTCCTGCTTATGCACCACTCATAAATTTTTTTACTAATTGTATTATGCTGTACAGTTTTACGTTAATGTGCACTGGAAATTAGAAAAGAGAATGGGATTTATTCCATATCACGAATAATACTGACTCATAGAGAGTATAGTAGCTGCAAGTACACACAGTGATTGCAAAGAGCTAAATGACATAGAAAAAGTAGGATGCAATGTGAACTAGTGAGAAAATAAGACAGTCTTCCTCACTCCCCAGTGTACAGATTTGAAAACGAGTGGATGTAAAATACTCAATAGCAATAGTAAATGATCTGGGAGGTGGACAAGTATGAATCGAAGTTCTAAGATCCTTGTTTTTTGACTAGCAATGTAAAGTTAAGCATTGGTTAATTGGGTTTCTTGAAACTGTGGATTGTTATTTTTCACTTCTGGAAAGTTTTCAGCCATTTTCTGTTTAAAAGTTGTCTCTAACCTTCTCTTCTGCTTGTAAAAATCCAATGTGACACCGCGAAGACCTTATCTCTGTTTTCTCCATATCTTTTCATGTCTTTATTTTTCCAGTTTACTACCTCTTTATCTCTTATATAAATTCCAGATAAAGTTTTTTGGGTTTATTTCCTAGGTCTCCAATTTTCTTTTTCAGCTGTGTCTAATATGTTATAAAACTCATTTACTGAGTTTTTTGGTTAAAGTACTGTATTTTTACTTTTAAGAGTTTTTTTGTTTTCAAATATGTTTGGTCTTTATTCATATTTTGAACCTCTTTGCCTCGTGTGTGTCAGTTTTACTCTTCAGTGAGCTGAGCTGTGCCTTATATCGTGTACCCTTTTCCCTCTCTCACTGAGGTCTGGACTGTTCCAAGCTATGCAGACGCCGGGGCTGATTCATTGAAAATCTGAAGTTAGCCTTTTTAGCAAAATGGTATTCAGTGGGGATTTGAGAAAATTTCCATCATTCTATGGAAGAGACTACTGTTTGTAACCATCTCTGGAAAAGAGTTCTGTTTCTCTACAAATAAAAGAATGTAATTACCAACATAAGATATAAAATGCTAAGGGGGAGCATCTATGTTTTCTAAATCACATATTATTTATACAATCAAAGATATAAACAACAATTTTTAATACTACCAAGAAAAACACTAACATCTGATGATTTTGATACCGAATTTTATTTTAAACATTTTGTAGTTACATTTATATTTCCAAACTATCAAAAACAGAAGAAGAAAAACCCGCTTTGGAAACACATAAAAGTATCTTATAGTCAAAAAATAAAGTGAGTGCAATGAGAATCTATTCGCACATAAGAAATAAATTTTAACCAGCAAAAAAATTACTTTGTTGATAATGCTTGGTGAATTTTTGCTGTCTTGAGAAAGATCATCCTAACTCAGGATTCTGGTGATTCAACACAGAACAGCATAACAAGGCTGGCAGTGACAAGATAATACAAAGAGTATCAAAAGTAGGTTGCCAGTTCAATTAGAATTTCAGATAAATAATGATATATTTATACTAAAAATTATTCACTGATTATCTGAAATAAAAATTAACTGAATGTCCTATTTGTTTGTTTTTAATTTTGCTAAATCTAGCAAGCCTTATCAAAATAAAACAACTCTGATCAAGATAGTTCTGTAATATATGATTTAAGACCTAAAATAAACATATATTTATGGCTATTATTATACCAGTCTATCAACAATACTTCCTTTTCCAGTTTTCAACTTCATGCACAAATATCACTATAATTTATGTTTAAATAAATATATAAATAATAAATAGGTAAATAAGTCAGACCATATATTTACATGATCATGAAAAAAAGTTAAATTTCTTTCACATGTTCTCACATCTCTGTGAGGTAAGATGGTGGCTGATATTTTTTCTCTATGTTAGGAATAAAGAAGAAACCAAGGTGACATTAACGGGGATTCATGGATCTTGGCCAACAGACTGAGGTTGCGATATTTAACCAAAAAAAAGAATACAAGATTTCCCACTAAATATGAATTTATGGTAAAAAAAAAAGAGAAGAAGAATTAAAAAATACAAGTGTTTTAGATATTGCATGGGACATTGAAAAAACTATTCATCGTTTCACTTAATATTTGAATTTAACTGGGAATCCTATATTTTGTCTGGCAACTCTACAACAGACCCACACAGTATGCTAAGCAATGAAGTAGATTGAAGTTGAAGTTTCATAGACATCTTTACTGAGGAATTCTTGGAAACCATGGAGAATGCATTTCTTTTTCATGGATCTTTCTTCTCAGCTCTGAAAATAAATAAAATTTAAAAATTAAAAATGAACAATATTTTAATATGGAGTAAAGTATGGTTCTTAAAAATATATTTACTATAGAAACTAGTACTCTTAGATAGTTACATATAAGAAATGTTCTGTATTTGCAACTATAGAGAGACCAGATAAGTTATTATACAAACCAAGATGAGAATGAAACGAAACCATAGTGATGACACAGGGAACAGGCATAAACCTAGACTTCCCAGGACAAACAACAGATGTACAGTCTTCTTGGTCATGAGTACAAAAAACTCACTATTGCTGCTTTTTTTTTTTTTTTTTAAATTAAAGAACGAGTTACCTAAAAGTTTTGGCAGCAGCAGGAAATCTATTAGGCTAACTTTTAGACTGTATGTCTCAGGATAAATGAAGAATCTAATTTAAAAAAAAAAAACTCACCTCTTCAAAAATGCCTGCACAACCATCTGCACCCACTTTTCTTTGGGGTTCAGGCAGACCTCATTTCCTTTCACGAGCTTTACACTGAAATGAAAGAGATGTAATTAAAATCAATTCGTAGCGGATTCCCGACATCTTTTTCTATTGAAGTCATGGTTCCTTAAGGATGGGCATAAAATCTAAATCCAAACCAGTTCTGAGCTACGAATCAAGGAAGGTACCATATTTAAATGCCATGTGGAAAATTTTTCTCTCAGTTTAGCTCACTACTGTAGTCCTAGTACCTAGAACTTTGTTAGATACTTCCACCTTCCTCGGTTTGGGGGTTTCTAAAGGAAAAACAAAAAACCAAAAAAACAAAAAACAACTTTTGAAAGCACTTACATGATTTCTGTATGTGCGCAGTGTGGTCCACTCTCAATCACTCTCAGTTCTTTGATAAATTTGGGGTGAAAAGGTGCAGAATGTGTTTTTATGCACTGGCATCGAAGTTCTGTGCTTATTCTCGACAGAACTGCAGCTGTGAAAAAAATTAAAACGATTAAAGATTAATATTATCAGGCACAGTTCTGCTAGCTTTAATTCCAATATGATAACTTGGTGACTGTGTATTTAGTAAACATGGCATCTTTAGCAAACTTATTTCTGCAACTGAAAGTTGGATGTTCTCCTAGCCTCTGACCTCAATTTTCTTTCTTTATTTTAAAAACGGTCTTCCCTGACAACATCGAATGACTTTCTACATAAAAACTTGAAGTTCTCCTTGTGCAATGTTGATGCCCTTATGATACTTTTTTTATTTGATATTGCATAATCCTCGGTGACACCAATAGGGAAATCACCTTCAGAAAGAATTAATGGAAATATATAAGTGAGTTGCATAGAGATGTCTTATATCTTAGCAAAACCCTTATTATTAAGAAAAAAAGAAAATAAATAAACTATATACCATAAACATTCTAAACTGTATGTTTTATAAAAGATATCCCAAGAAGATCTGTAATCTGTCAAAATGTCCTTAAACCAAACAGGAATTGATAGTTGTCTGAAGCTTGTCAATAAAATAGTACATGCAGTAAAATTATCTGAGTTATCTTGCTCAATATTAATAGATAATAATGGGTAACTGTGGCCCTCAGTAAGATATACTCTAAATTATAGATTTCCATTAAATGTATGCATACTACACAGTATGAATGATAAAAACAATGTCTATACTAATCAAACTTTATACTTTTCTAAGTATTGTATAGATACAGCCTAAAAAATTAAAACTCCAATTGAAGTAATTGAAATTAAATGACTGCAAAGATTATTTTCTTTTCTTAAATAAAAATGATGTTTTTTTTATCAAAGCATTAAGGATAATCTTGCTATCTGAGGATCAAGATAATTTTGCTATCTGAGGAGCACATTCAGACACAGGAAAACACTGGATCAGAAAGATGTGCTTACCTTCACATAGAGCTGCAGAAAGCACGAAAGCGGCCAAGAAAGCGACAGCCAGCTTGGAAGTCATGTTCACACGAAGTGCTTTCTTTCTGGTTTCTTATTGGCTCTTGGCTAGAAGCTTGTGAGCTCTGTTGTCCTCAAGGACTTGTGCTGGTTGGAGAGATCCTGTGGCTTTTTATATTATAGCAACAGATAGAGAACATGTGCACCCTCATGTTTGCATTATGTCAGAGGAAATTCCACAATCTGCAACTTTCCGCTCACCCTTTGAGTGTCTGAGTCATTAGACTTCTCTAACTGGTTCTTTATTAAGTTCTCAGCACATGACTGAAGTTTTATTTGATCTTTAAAATAATTTATTTTATTTAAAAACATGTCTTTTAAAACAAGTATAAAATAATTTTAAATAGTTTAGCTTCTCAGTTTGATACATCATTATCTGTTGTATTCCTTTTTATTTATAAATAACTTCATCACAGTACTATCTGACAGCTGTTAGATTAGGGTCATTTATGATTATTCCTTTATAGCGCATTTGTTTCTTTAGATAAGTTACATGTGATGTAATGATAATGAAGGTGATCTAGTAAACCACTTTTATCAGGGACACAATTTAAAAGAAGTCCTTTTCTAAGCACTTTGGAAAGTTTCCAGGAGCTATTGCTGCTCTCAAGGAGCATAGTACAACTTTTCAAAAAAAATTAATATGTATGTTTAACAGAGTGAAAGCGCACAACTTTCATTCTGTTCCACAAATATTTATCAGGTAACTTCTGAGTAATGTGGGGATCTAGAGATGGATAAAACTTGTTCTTAAAGAGTTTGGTCTAACAGAAGAATAAAGCAATATAAGGAACTGACTATATTACAGACAAGAGGCATCAAGATATTAATTCCAACAGGGGCGTAAGGGCAGAATCTTTCATAAGCATTTTGATCTAAGCAGGATGTTGAAGAATGGGAGGACTTTAACAGAGAATGATACAGGAGAATGACACATTCTAAATAGGACACTCAAGAGGTAAAATGAAGATACACTCATGTTCTAGGAAGTGGTTCACTGGGGCTACTTGGTTGGGGTGGGATGTGGTAACCTTAAAGGAAAGGTAAGCAGTGTATGCCTTCATGGAAAGAACATGTGGGTTCAAACTCTGGTTCAGCCACCTGATTTTTGCGTGGCTTTTAAGTTTTCTAAGTTCCAGTTTCTATATCTATAAAATGAGTTTAATAACACCTACTAACTCATAAAGTTAATCTATGTAAACTTTCCGGTTTAATTTTTAAACCGTTGAATTATCATCTGCTCCAAGAGCTATAGTTTATATTTCTTAATTTTGTCAGATGATTAACTTCCAAATTGTAAAGATATTCAACCAACGATTATTTCCTAAAAATCTCATTTGTCTTAGAGGCATTCTTGATGCAAAATTGGTTTCTGAAATACCAAGCTGAACCAGATTACAGCATGTAATGTAACAATATCATAAAATAGAAATGACATTAGTTCACGTTATGGTTTGCTACAATTAAAGCTCCAGATCAAAATCTAATTGTATTAGAATTCAAGTTGCCCTTTTGATTGAAAATCTCTAGTATGGAGAGTCTTAAAATCTATTTTTAAGAAATAGATTTTCAGAACACTTAAGGAAAAAGCTCGTTTAAATACTGGTATAGGGTTTAAATTAAATTTTTAGACAAAATGATTGAAACTTAGACCAAAAGTAATGGAGTTTCCGGAATGTGGTTTGGGGAAAATATTCCTTTGCTGAAAGACTTGTGTAGTGACCCCAGCTAATTTCCTAAATATCCTTTCAATTTACTTGATATCAAGGGCACTGTGTGTGTATGTAAATTAGTTCTCATAACAATGGGATTAGTAATAATGTTCTCATTTTACAAATGGAGAAACTCAACGTCTCCAAGTTCATATCTAAGTAGTGGTGGAGTTGATGGTTTACAAACTTACAGTTTTAGCCCTGGTCTAAAAGCACATTCACAAAGAGGAATTGAAGAGACTTTCTTCAAAACACTAGGATATAAATCTATCTTTTTACGACTCAATTAAGTTTCTTACTCCATCCCTCTTGAGTCCTCAAAGATTGGTCTGGGTTTCCTTGGATAAGGGTCACTTAAGTAAAGGACTTTACTATAGTAAAAGTCTATTCACCTCTGGGAAAGAACACAATTTATAAAGAATTCAGCTTGATTCAACATCTTTCTTCTTTCCCAAGAAGCTCGATAGAGCAGTGAGCTCATCTACACAAGTGTGTGTGCAGAGGGAAAGCCATGTTTGAGTGCTTTCCAAAGAGGTTATTTGGTTTCTGAGTAATCATGTTTCTTTTTCATCCTCCAACCAACCTAAGACTGGAGGACAAAATAGCACCTAGGTTACATCACCTTCTGTAGCAAAGCAAATGTTTGTTATATATAATCCAGTTGTTTTTAACTCTACTATTATAGGAACTTGATTGTTCATTTATTCATTTAATATATGTTGATTATCTGCTAATGCCAAGTATTGTAATAGGAGAAGTGGTTACTGTATAAATAAGATAGTCCCTGACTTCACAGAGTTTGCAGTCTAATGCAGGATATGGACAATTAGTTATGCAGGCAAATACAATACAGTAATGGGTGTTATAATACGGATCATTACAGGAACTTCTGGGAACAAATGAACAGGACCTCTGATGCAGTTTTGATGAACTGAGGTCTTCTGAAGAAACAGCTTCAAAACCATGACCTAATATAGGTAATTAGTAGGTGTAAAACCAATGGGCTGGGGAGAAGGTATGACTATCTTGCTTGTGGTGGGAAAAGCAAGCACAATGTTATGAGATGTAAGAGAATATGACCCATTTGGGTTCCTGAAATTGTGAGCGTTGTATGAAAAGTAGTAATGGAGTGAGGAAAGGGAAAAGTTAGGGCCAGATATGTAAGCGAGACCTGGATCTTAAAGAAAATTCCTAGTCTCTTTGTTTCAGTAATGTTGGATTGTTCAACAAAGACATATTTTCATATAAACAGACCCTGACATGACTGGCTCAGCCCATTCTCATCAGGACCCAATCATATTAGTGGCACCACTAAAACCCTCAGAGTTCTGAAGATTTGCTAACACTCCTCTACTTTCCTCCCACAGTTGTGTTTGTATTTTTGCTGAGTCCCAACTTACGAAGACACTTCATTTCCCTCTCTATTTCATCTCCTCATCTCTTCTTTTCCCCCTCTCAGGATCTCAATTGCCACTTACACTGTCATTAGAGTTTGAACTAATGAGTTCCACTTAACCTAGATGCTCACATTTTTTTTTTTAATGGCACATTCATTTATAAGGCAAAAACAACCTCTTTGCAAATGTTCATTTCTCACAATGTAGCCTTGATACATTATGTCCTAGGACTCTCTTCATCAGTGGTAAGGGTGGGAGGAACAAAGACAAAGTGACTGGAGGAGCAGGACTCCTGTTCTTGTCCCACTTCTGTAAAGGTAACCCTTTGAGTTATTGCATAGTAAGTAGAAAGACTAAGTTGGGTTAAGTAGAAAAATGGGATAATTATCCTATTTGAAGAAATGCTGCTTCAAAATAGAGCAGAGTGAAGTGAAAATGTAGGTAAATACAAATCTGAACATAAATACAAATGATATTTTATCACCCACTACGTAAAATGTAGAGTTTATGGGACTATCAACCATTATGCTGTTTATTTACGTTCCAACCAGCTCCTGAGACATGAAAAACATTTATCAAACAGAGAAGACCTTCCAGATATCTTTACCATAGCCACGAGATAAGACAATTGTTCAAGAAAGAAGAGTTCAAGAAAGAGCCAAGACAAAGACAGGCATTTCCACATCTTTTTACACATCTATACATAACTCTTTTTTTTTTCCATCAGACTCTCCACAGGAAAACTGATTGCCTTTTTGGTATGTTAAATCATCCAAGTAACACACCTCTCACCTTCAAATAGAAATTTTAGAATTAGGACCTTTTTTTTGTAAACCCAAAGTTATGTTTATATAACAAAGTAGAATGTGGTGGGGAAAACGTGGGCTTTGAAGTGAGATAAACTTAGATTTGAATCTTGTCCCATGCTTATTAACCAAGAGGCCTTGAGCAAGCTGATTCTATATCTGTGTTATAACTGCAGCTTCTAAACGCTGAGCCACATTTCCTAATCCCAGTAGTAAAGGCTCAACTTGCACCTGGAATTTTTTCTCCTTTTGAAGAAATTAGTCTCAGCTCAGCAACCCTCAAGGTTAAGAAAACCACAAACAAATGCTAAACATATATCAGTGAGTTTGACTTACAATGTTGTTACTGCTAAGATTATAAGCATAAAATATCTGCTCTCTGAAATTTTAGTCAATAAAATTCAGTTAGCTGAGAAATTTAAAACATGTTCATACATTTTGCAGATTAAAAACATTTATTTGTACTTTGTTAATACAACAAACTTAATCTGCCCCAGGACCATAAGGGCATTTCAGTTCCATCTCCAAATTCAAATGTCTTGAGTTAACACTTTGTAAAAATGCTAAGCAAAGTTGGTCCACATTGCTAAAGATGTCCTACCTTTTAAAGAAATTTTCCAAAGTCTTGACAAGATGGAGAATCAAACAGTTAAATGTATTTGTTTTGACCAATGTAAGTCAGATTATGCATGGATGTTGGAAAAAGACAAACCTTCCTTCAAGCGTAGCCCACCATTTATTAGCCAAACAAAAAAGGGATTTTTTTTTTTAACCTCAGTGCATTTGTTTCATCTGTAAAATGGGAATAAACACCACTTTTATAGGATCACAGTGAGAGTTAAATGAGGGCATATATGGAAAATGCCAATAGCGGGGCCTGGCACACAGAAGGTAGTCCATAAATGTCAGTTTTCTTCCCCTCTAGTCTGTCATTTAAGTCACACTTTGTCTGGTGTAGGAAAACAACATTTCTTTTTAAAAGCTTACCAAGCAACAAGTAACTATGTATTGGTACAACAGATCTCCTAAAGCTTACATTTACCTACTTTTATATCGTTCCGTTATAAAGCTGTCTTTTTTATGTCTAATAATTCAATTCACATTTGTATGTTTAAAAAAATACTGTTGATATACACAGAGAATTGAGTAACATTTACAATTCTTTCTCCCAAATCAATAGAAATTTTG